AAAATATTTACTGTCTGGGCATTTACATTAAAAGTTTGCTGACCCCTATGCTAAAGTGTAATCTAAGATTGTTTTTAAGTGCTATGAGAAATGCAGTCTCGTTTGCCAACTGCCAGTTCGTTAGTACTGACAAGATTTTCTCTTTAGTTTGGCATTTAAAATTGTTTAAATTTCCACCAGAAAGATAAAACTGGATATGCTGGGTAAAGTAGGAGCATAAAATGATTTGAGACATCCAGATTTTCTTTCTCAAATTTCATCTACAGATAATGTAGACATTTAAACATTTCATCTATAGGCATTTGTCTTTGAATGTCAAAAAACTGTTTGATGAAATTTGAATATGATGACTGTCAACTCTTTTGAAAGAGGCATCCAGAAGAAAAGATGTGAGAGTTGAGTGTGTTGTTGCTAATAAAATTGCACTGGGTCTTTTAGGAAAACATTTTCTCCTGACCCTTAAATGTCTTTAAAAGTCTGTGCCAAGAATTCATTAGAGCAGCAGACAGCACACCCAAAATACTGAGCTAGAGTTATAAAGCTGCCTCCTTCCCCATCATTTTTTCCTTTAAGGCTGAGTTTATTTTCTTCTGATTGCCAGTTCACATTTCTCTGGTTTCTCATCTTGGAAAAAATCACATTCACCATTCCTTATGCTGCTTCACCCAAACTCCAACCCCCAGACACAGAGGAGAGCTGAGATCCATTTTTCTTTTGCATTCCCCTGCCCAGCAATTTCATTCTGTTGCCTGAAGATGAAATATTTTGCAATGTTTCTGACTTTGTCATATAAGGAAGTTCCTTCCACCCAGCTCTAATAACAGTGTAAACAACTCACACCGTAGTTGCAAATAGTTCCACAGACAGCGTTTTCATCAGTCATGCAAACTGCAAATAACAGCGTGGAGAGGGCGGAGTTTAGTGTATCAGTCTTCCTGAGTTGAGACTTTGCCCATTGGCTGCCTCAAGTATACTTTCTTGCATCAAATGTTAGCTGTCCTGGAGAGAACTTAGAGTAAATGACACTCTAAGGAAAAACAAAAGAGCAAAATAGCATTAACAAGCGTCTGTTTTTGTTATTGCCATTTCCTAATTGTATTAGTAGGTGTGCAACTTCATTGGATATTCTTTTTTTTTCAATTGTCTTTGTACCTATGATTGAAAACAGTAGTTGGTCTATGGCTTTTCAGGAGGTAAGTTTTTTGTCTATGTATGTCTGTAATATCAGCGTCTGTCTCTCTGAAAAATGCAGTATCCTCCTCCCCAAAGTTACTAACCCAACTTTCCCAGCTGCACATCTCCTATGCAAGAGGGGAGGGAACTAATGAGGAAAGTTGTTGTCTGCTGTTTGTTCGAATGTTGTTAATTGTGTGACATGGAGGAGGTTTCAAACAGTGTGCTGTGAATTTTAAGGGTTATGTAAGCATTGTCTCCTGTAGCCTTTTCCGAAAGGCAAGGGAAGCGATTTGCCTGTGTTGTTTATGGGCTCTGAGCATTCAGCACATCCGCTTGTGCAGACTTACGGCATGTGAGTATCTCTGCACTGGCTGAGGTTATGGGGCCACTTCACGTCTTTCTTGGGTGGGCCTCCCTTGCCAACATTTCAGGATGAACCAAGCAAGATTCCGACCTTTGCCAAAGCTAAACTGTCTTCTTTATTCTAGTATAAAGGCAGACTTTTTCTTCGGACATTTCTAAAAACAGTTTTGGCTCCCTGGGAAAGGCTGGAAAAGACAGCCAAGTCACGTTGTCTATCTTTAACCCTTGGTAAGCGTGGGCGGGTTCTTCTTCATAGAAAATCTCCACCTTGCCCCGCCCCCAGGTTCATACTTTGGAGGACGATACTGCATTTTTGGCCCCAGAGCTTGCTTTCCCACGTGTCTGAGTGCAGAACAGGAGTTGCACACTTCCCACTGTGCTGCTTGCTTTGCACACACTGAACTGAAGCTTCTTGCTAGAGCAAAAGCCACTAGGCTTGCCCCCTAGGCTATTTTGCTTTTTAGGGACCCTCAGACACCCCTAATTTCTCCCCAGTCTTCCACCCCACCCCCTTAGCTATGTGTCTGCGAGGAGAGGTTTGAGTTGCGACAGTCATGGTAATGGGAAGTGACCAGTCAGGTTTCAGCCGAGCTCACACCTCTTTCGTATATAATATAACATAACCCGTCAGACGTGTATCTCTAATCAGTAGTGAAGTAGCTCCTGGTGCAGTTTTTAAGTACTTTGAGCAAAGTGCTTTTCCATAGTGTTGTATGACTTTACCTGGAGGTGATTTTAACTTGATTCTGAGCATATATCACTGTAACCTGAAAAACTGGTAGCTGCAACATTTTTCACTTGTGCCAAATTAACTCAGTGTACATAAGTAGTTGAGGGAGCTGTTTGTATCTTGGAGACCTAAGTACAACTTCAGTAAAAATAGGACACTTAAGAATAGGTATTCGAATAGTCTCTTTTGAGGGGATTTATCAAGAAATGAGAAAAATCTCTTCCCTGCCTAAAGCAGTCTGCCTTGTGAAATATGGTATGATGAAATTGTGCTCGGTATTGCTGCTTGTTCCTGGCAAGGAGGAAATTTGTTGGAAAAGTTTTTGAACCATATTCTTTTAATCTGTTTCCAACAAGCATGTAAGTTGTTTCTGTAAAAAGGGGTAATAGTTTGATATATCAGGATGAAAGACTAATCTCTAGCCCCTGCTAGAATCTGGATGATTTCAGCAAAGATTGAAGGATTCAGCTGTAGACACCCTGGCTTTTTTTATATTTTAGTTCCCACTTTTATTATGCTTCTATGGGAGGGTAGAACTTCTGTAGATTGAGGAGACAGACAGAATTTGATGGGTATAATTTGCCCCTACATATATGTACACTGTCTTTTCAGGAATATCTTGGGAAAGGGCTCCTGGCAAGGTGTCCTTTTTTGTGAGGGGTTACATTGTATCTTGGTCACAGAGGAAGATCCATTAGGGTTTCACATAGAACATGAGCTTCTAATAGGAGAAGACTTTTAAAAAATTCTCATTTTGGCATTTTATCCTTTCCAATAGAATTGAAATTCTGAATTGCTTTTTATTTTCTAAACAACTTTTTAAACACGTGTGTTATATATTCATTGTAGACAACTTGGAAACATTTTAAAAGCACAAAGACAACAGTTAAAATAATCCACTACCCAGAGTTAATGTTATTTATGTTGTTATGAAAATGAGATTTTCCACTTATTTGTCTTTTTTTCCCCTATGAAGTAGCATAAGCATTTCTCCTGTCATTAGAGAGATATTTTTTACTTATATCTTAACACTGTATGGAATTCTATCATTAATTTATTTAGAAGTATTTAAGATTTTTTTTTTTCTTTTTCTTTTTTTCTTTTTTTTTTTTTTTTGCGGTACGCAGTCCTCTCACTGTTGTGGCCTCTCCCGTTGCGGAGCACAGGCTCCGGACGCGCAGGCTCAGCGGCTATGGCTCACGGGCCCAGCCGCTCCGCGGCATGTGGGATCTTCCCAGACCGGGGCACGAACCCGTGTCCCCTGCATCGGCAGGCGGACTCTCAACCACTGTGCCACCAGGGAAGCCCATGTTTTTTTTTCTTTTTTAGTAGATTTCTTTTTCAAAAATGTTTTGACTGTTCCCAACTATTCCAGTCTACCTTTAACAAAGGAAAAGGCAGCGATTGACCCTGTTGGCTGGCTGTAGTCAAAGTGCACGTTTGTCCTTTGGCTTCTTTGCTGGCCCTGTTTTTGAATCCTCTACCTCCTTGAAAGTCTCAGGCTTTGCCCTTACCATCTGTTTCTTAGCCCTTTTTAAAAAACAAAAAGAAAAGAAAAAGAAATCAGGGCTCTTCTTTCCATATAACAAACTCCAGGTGGTTCTACAGAAGATAAAATTCACTCCCTGCCCCGCTCCCCACCTTGCCTCCAGTATGCTCTGATAGCTATCTTCCAGGGCATAGATTTGTCTTCTGGTTGTACACCACTGCTTTGTCTGAGTTTTTGCCATCCTTGCAGAAAACACCGTTAGGAGTGTAAATCTGAAAAACAGGAAGGTCTTATCACATTGATGTTTTTCCTGTCAGCTCTCTTTTGAATCTTCCCTAACTGCTAACAATAGCAGAGACAGCACTTTTGATACTTTGGAAGGGAGGACGCTAAATTCCTATTCAGAAAACAGAGTGAATGTACACAGTTCATAATGACTGGTGAAGAGGAGATCTTGCTTCATAAGAATTAGTGACTTGCTTTTTTCATCATATAACTGTTTCAAATTTTTTTCTAGGAGTTCAAGGGGAAAAAAACAACTCAGCAATTTATTTTACCCAGAACCTTTTAATCTGAAGTTTTTTTAAAAAGCAAAACAAACATTCAGAGACATTATCATAAGGACAGTTGCTCTTACTAACACAAAAATTGGCGTTCAGAAAAGTAAATACATTCATATCCAAAGAATGCGAATGTCAGTTGATAGCAAAACAAATCCAAACCGTGTATCTTAAATATACTCAATTAATTTAAACTCTGATATGGGAAAAACCATTTAGAGAAATGTCTATTGGTTTCTCCCCAGTTCCATCCTTACTGTGTCTTGCAGTTTCCTTTGAGGTCAAGGGTGGGATTATCGTGCATGTTTCAAACAAAGACTTGCCTGTGTCTGTATTCTAGGTCTATATGAAAACCTCACAAGATTGGGGGTGCGTTTGGAAGTTTTGCTTTTCATGGCACAGTTTTTATGATGAAGTCCTGTCTGGAGGGCTTAAGGGACAATTATAAGTTTCACTGGGTAGAGTTCCGCATCTGCTCTGCTCGCTTAACTCACTGTTGTTTCCCAGACAGCAGTCCTGCCTTCCTGTGCCACTCGCGCCTTCTCCTTTTTACACCTTGAAAAGTTCACTTTGTTGTTGTTGTTGCTGCTTGTTTTTCCTCACCAGTTCCATTTGTTTCTGGTAGTATGTCCAGGCACTAATGCCCTAATGCCCACCTCTGGTTGTTGCTCTTTTTCTGCAGAGGGAGAACCGGAGATTACAAGAGGCCAGCATGAGGCTGGAACAAGAGAATGATGACCTTGCCCATGAACTAGTAACCAGCAAAATTGCTCTGCGGAATGACTTGGATCAGGTAAACCTTTCCTTCACTAGGCGGAAATAAGGCTATGACAGCCTCCTCCGGGGCAAGGACCAAGTTGCTCTCAGGGCAGTCCCACCAGGGCTTGCTCTGTACTTGACCCTGAGTGAGCTGCCTGATGGGTGAATGGGTGGGTGGTAAGTGGGAGGGGACTGCTGTGCTCACTGGAGACGGTGAAGAACGCAACCTTTTGAGATAGGTTTCGGTCATTTCCAAACAGCATGTGAAGCATACTTAAAAAAAAAAATAGCTCTATGCTTCTCTGGTGTCTCTTCTCTTAATCTCTACTTTTCCTAAACCAAGGACTGCCAGCATCATTACCTGAGGCTATCAGTCACCAAGGGTATACAGTGCCACTCTAGTATCTGTAGGCACTGTACTTTTTTGTTCCAAAAAGATTTCTCATCTACAGTAAATGTGAGGATTTTATATGAAGTATGTACATTGAGATATGTACTGTTGGATTGACAGGCATCCTAGTGCTTGAGAGCCAAGACTGCCTGGGTGTGCATGCTGGCATCACCACTCACTAATCATGTGACCCAGGGCCATTCTTAACCTGCCCATAGGTTTAAAAATGTGTTGACCTCATAGGGATGATGTGAGAATTAAATGAGGTAAAGTACTTCAAGAGTATGTGTTCAATAAACATTAGCTGTTGCTAGGAAGCCCTTAAATTCTTTAACAGTACTCACAGCTTTAGGACTTACTGTTTTTCCATTGGTTGTGTTTTTGGAAATAATTGGCAATATAGAAGGAATCTTGCACAGATTTAAAACCATCACTCTATTTTCTGACTTTTAAAAAGCCCATATTCCCAATGGTGCAGGGTCAGAAAAGTTGAGACTTAGCTGGTTGAATCTGTAAGAAAGAGGCATTACCTGTGCTCTGACTATGCGTTGACAATATTTAAAATACAAATCCGTTAATAATATAGATATGATTGGATGTATAGAATTGCAGGAATTTTTTTAATGTTTAAAATGCTCCCTGCCACAACTCCTTTTCCCAGATAAACAGCTAATTTTGCAGCTCAGAAGTTTTAGCCACAGTAAGATGGGAGATAAAACCACTGTTAAGGAAAATTGTGCTGAAGGGGGAGAGGAGGAAGCTGAAGGCGTCGACACTAAATGGAGTTTGAAAATAAAACAAAAACTGTGCTGCTTGGGACACAGGATGTAGAAGGTAGAAGCCGCAGCCCCATGGTGGAAGGCAGGGGGTTGGCCCTTTTAACTGCAAACCCCATTCAGCCAGCCTCTCTGCAGGTTGTTAGAGATGGTATGAAAAATGCGTGACTAAGAGAGTCAGAACCAGGGAAGGTAGAGGGGTCCCCATTCAACAGGGCCACACCCAGCCTGACCTTGGCTGTTGTACTTTTGTAGCAATAAGACCACAGTGTGACTCGGTACTCTAATGAAATTTTTGGTTCCATGTTAGCTTTCCAAATGGCCTTGACTGACACTTGATTCTGCCATTTTGAATATTTTATCCATTAATAGTTTTCTTAAGATGGCTAGCTAAATGAAAAAGTTTTGCAATAAATCTGTTGTAATCATTCCATGATGTATGTAATTCAGATCATTTTGTTGTGCACCTTAAACGTACACAGTACTGTATGTCAATTATATCTCAATAAAACTAGAAGGAACAAAAGTTTTAAGCAGTTAGACTCAGTAGGGATGCAGTGAAATAAGTTAGAGTTGTAAATTGAAAGTTATGTGGGAAATGTATTTGGTACATTAAAATGTACATTTGGTATATTTAAAACGTTGAACAATAATGAATTTAAATACTTAACTGAGTTCCTACTATGCACCGAGCACTTTATTCAGCAATGTATAAGCATTATCTCGTTTAATTTTCCTAATGACTCCATTAAGCAAGTATTTTATCTTCCATTTTATAAATGAGGAAACTGACGTATATACTCTGACTTGGAAAACTATCCTAAAAAACGTAGAGATTTGCTCAAAAATATAGGTACAAGGTTGTTTACTGCAGCGTTACTGACAAGAATAAAAAATTGAAATAATGTATATGTCCAATAGAAGGAGAGAATGAAGGTATAGCTGTAAAATATGTTTCTGGAATCGTTTTTAAAAACAATGGGAAGGTAATGATATAATATATATTTTTTAAAGTAAATTTGTCTATATATAATGTTTGCATCTAAAGTGCAAGGAATATATGCTGGCAAAAGGCCATCCTGTAGGAAAAGAAAGGAGGCTGGAATATACATTGACAGGAAAAAAAGCCTACAAGGAAATACATCAAAATGTTACTACTAGATGTCTCTGGGTGATAACAGTAAATCTAATTTTTATATGCATCTTTATACTTTTTTCAATTATATATCTTTTATAAGAAGACCTTAAATTACTTAACCACCCTTGGTTAAGTAATAATGTGCCTTATAACTCTTTAATGATCAGAAAAAATATTTTATTTAAAAAAATTGTGTCACCACCCAAAAAACCCATTTTGTAGATTAGTCCGGAACAATTGCTAGGGTCCTCCTGAAATTATTGAGTACCTAGGTAGTCATGGAGCTACTAGATCAATCCCTGAAGAAAACATCCCTTCATTTATTCCTTCTTTTTATTTCCTCCCTTCATACCTCTCTTTCTCTTTTTAAAAAAGTAGTTAAGACCTGGCCCCTCTGCCTTTTGAAGCTTATTTTCTAGATGAAAGAATAAAAATTGCCATTTCATTGAATTGCTAACTCAAAAATTGCTATCTCCTCCTAACATCTAATTTTGTCGGTTCTGCCTGAGCAGGGTTTATTTGCACATCAAAAAGCTGTCCCTGCAGTTTAGGTGTCCTGCCCCTCCAGTCTTTGAGGAGGGGAAGGATATTAGCGTGCGGCTTTCCTGCCTTCACCCAGTTTGCCCAGTACTTTTCCATTCCCAGTTTTTCAAAATCAAATCTTTTAATTAAAATAGCAAAAGTTGGCATACACTAAACAAATATGAAAGCAGATTGTATTTGAGACAATATGTAAAGTAAACAAACCTAATTAGGTAATTAGGTAAGTGATTTCATACCCATGTCATTTCAGAGCTGGCTTCAGGCTTCCTGGCCCCCAGCAGCTCTTCCTTTTTCTCTCTGACAGAGCCTTCTCTTTTGACAACTTGCCTCCCTGAGACTCCTTAAATAAGGACTTCTCAGTGATCAGAAATGAAAAAAGATACAACATCTCCATTTCAGTTTCTGTTGCTATCTGCTTTCAGGCCCTTCCTGTTCTTTCTCCTCCCAAGGAACAAAAACGAGAGACACAACCAGTGCTTTCCCACTGCAGCCTGGGCCCAGGTCCCTTCTGATCAGAGGGAGTTCCCGTCAGACCAGAAGCTGCATATCACAAGCGGCACATTCTTTTGTTCTGTTTTAAATTGAACAACTGCCTTGGCTAGTTCTTTGAGAAATTATTTCTGAAATTATTTCTGAAAGAAATTATTTCTGAAATTATTTCTGAAAGAGCCTCATCCCTAACGTGAGAGCTGAGCCTTCTGAGCAGGTTATCAGTTGGTTCATGATTTAATCACACATTGCAGTGTTTGTTTCTCTCATATATATATATGTCATAGAAGTTAGAGGGCAGTTAGAAGTTTTCATATCAATAAGGCATTAAAAGATGTTGGTAGGTGATTAGAAGACAGTAATGACAATGGTCCACTCAGTCTTATCAAATTATGGTGAAGGTTTTATCATTTGGGCTCAAAGATAGAATTAGAGTATCTATCTGTTTAGTATTCTGTTCCTGGAGATTCCTTTAACATTAAAGATGGTTTCAACTTAAGTGAGGTGTAGAGGTTGGCTATATAGAGACCCAGAAGACCACTTTTAAAAGAACCTTTTATTTATTTCATTTATTTATTTATTTTTGCGGTACGCAGGCCTCTCACTGCTGTGGCCTCTCCCGTTGCGGAGCACAGGCTCCGGAGGCGCAGGCTCAGCAGCCATGGCTCACGGGCCCAGCCGCTCCGCAGCATGTGGGATCTTCGCGGACCAGGGCACGAACCCGTGTCCCCTGCATCGGCAGGCGGACTCTCAACCACTGAGCCACCAGGGAAGCCCAAAAGGAGAACCTTTTAAAAGGAGAACCTTTTAAAAGGAGAATTCAGATCTGGTTCTATTTTGATGAGCAGAATCAGGCCTACTTTACTGTTTAGCATGGAGGGGAAACTCTGGATACAGCTTCCTGTGGGACCCACAGCAATTTCTGCAGATGTCAGATCTGATAACCACAGAAATAGAGGGAGAACACCTGACCTTGGCATAGTGAAGAATGTGCAACAGAAAATGTGTACATAAAACTAATAGGCCTGGGACTTCTCTGGTGGTCCAGTGGTAGAGAATCCGCCTTACAATGCAGGGGATGTGGGTTCGATCCCCGGTCAGGGAACTAAGATCCCACATGCCGCGGGGCAACTAAGCCCACATATCACAACTACTGAGCTCACGTGCCTCAACTAGAGCCCACGTGCCACAAACTACAGAGCCCACGTGCCCTGGAGCCTGCGCACCACAGCTAGAGAAGAGAAAACACACACACCACAACTAGAGAGAAGCCCGCGCACCGCAATGAAAAAACCCCGCATGCCTCAACGAAGATCCTGCTGCCGCAACTAAGACCCGACGCAGCCAAAAATAAATAATAAATAAATCTTAAAAAAAAA